CACATATGAAAAGTCTTTGTATAGAAAAATTTTAACTTTAATTAATTTTCTTTCTCCATGGCTCTCCCTTCAATCCTCTCGAACTGCTTCACCTTCTTGTATGAATTCCAGTGGACTCTATTGATAATTTTGTTCAAGAATTGTGCAAGTTCTGACATATTTTTTTCCAAATAAATGAAAATTAATGATATCAATTTGTGCCTATCGATGTTGCATAACGAGAATACAATATTCCTGATGTGATGCACAGTCCTATTAAGGAATGCATTTATAATATGGTGTGGAATTTAAGGAGGTGAGTATAATTCCACACACAACAACAAAAGAAGTGTGTGCAGTTTAATTTACAGTTCAATGCAACAATTCTTCTAACTTAGATTAATTTACGAAGACAGAGAAACTAAAGTTTTGTAATTTAAACTTGGAGCACATGATGCAGAAAAACATATAGTAAGTAATTTTGGCAAATTTTGGCAACTAGTGGCCATCTTGGAGAACTTTTGAAAAAGTTATGAAAAATAATATTCTTTTCGATGTGTTTGGTTAGCTATTCTCAATTAGTTGATTGAGATTGACATTCTCTCCTGATTTTTGTAGGAAGTATTTAAGGTCAAATTGGAGCATTAAAAGTGACCTTAAAGAAAAGTTTTGTGTATAATTTTGAAATATTAATTGTGCAATAGAAGCTCACATTGTCGCAAAATTTGTCATCTAATTAACATTTGGGAACATCTAATGCAAGTTCTTGGCCCGCAACTATATTGATCAGTAATATAGTTTAAGGTTTCTTCTTGCTGTTTTCGCTAATAAATCAATGTTACAATCAATGCTGTGGCTCTCCTCCCCATTCTGCTCATTGAAATTCCGACTTTGATCAGTAAGTGCTGCTACCTGATCTTGCATCTTTCTCACATGAACTCCAACCAAGAAACGTTTCCAATACCTCTCCTGTTGTGCCCTTCTCTGCAACGCAATGAATTCATTCTCTAATTTTTCTACTTCCGCCAGCCAATGTTTAACCTCAGTTTTCCTCTTCTTTCGTCCGGACAGTTCGGCTCTTTCCACTTCCTCCTTTACGTCAGCTGATCTGCTACTCAATGCCTTCAGATTCGTAGCCGGCAATTGTATATCAGATCCCAGTCCGAACTCCGAAATAACTTATCCCTGTATTCACCGACAGCTCTGCAGCCCTTTCTGTTGCTATGTCCTTCACCTTCTCTTTAAACTTGCCGAGTAGACGTATCATTTCAGCTATAGCCTTCCCAATGATGTGCAGCATCATATCCATGGCTTTCCAAAACATATTTGTCATCTATCAAGAACAGAGCAAACAATTCTCGAATTAGGTACAAATTTGCAGTGAACTAGACCCCTCAAATTGTTTGCTAAAACATATTCCTACATCATTGTTAATTGAACAAGGAGAGGAGGAGGATGTTAGCAGTGAATCATAGCGAGAATGTATTTGGAAGATATCTGACAAAAGTAGTATCGTACCCTTTTTTCATTAACTTAAGAGAATGGTTGACTACACCAAATTTGAGTAATATTCCGTATACCCTGACCTGCCATTTTGGCACTTGCATTTTTCAGGGCATAATGGAAATGAAAGCTTATTTTGATTTAAAAAAATTCAAAATTTAATTTGGAAACTAGATACAATTTAATTCTTGTCAGCTTTCGGATGTCCAGTCATCTATAACATGCCAATAACTTTGATGGGATTGGACTGCAATTTTTTTTTATTCAAAAAAATATTTGTTAAAATAGCAAAATAAATGTGAGTTAGGACATAGATAAAATTTGTAATTGAAGATGAAGATTCTGAAATCCTTACACCTTTTTTGTGGAATTGTTTCCTTAAACTTGGTGCCTAGAAGTTCAAATTCCAGTTCATTTGTGAATTTAGATTTTCATAGAACCATGGAGTTTTCACAAAGGAAATGATTGGGCAAACATAAACTTGCTTATTATTAAAATAGGAACACAAGGAGACCCAAACTAAGACCAAGCATTTCTAATCTAATAATCTTGCCCATCGTCTCCATTTTGAATAATCAATCTTTCTACCACTAAGCTTTGTTTGGGCCTTGGGGCAGCACTATTTGATTAATTATTTTACAGTTTCTTAAAAGATTTTGAAATTTAGGAATTCACCAAAAGCCCACAAAGCCCAAATATAGACAAATAGCTGATGGGGTTACTCCTGAGTTTATTGTACTCAAGCCCAGGAACTTACTACATTTCCGTCGGATAAGCGGCTTAAGATTTCCGTCTAGAGGTTAAGCCTAGTTTCAAAGTTCATGAAAGGAAATTGTCAAGGCATAAATAATTATGGATTTATATCACATCTAATTTAACATATGAATGCATGTACTGATATTTATTGTGCCTATCAATGGGCACTTTACCAAATTAATTATACTTTTGCCAAAATTAACACTTGAAGCACCTATTAATCAAACCCAATAATTAATTAGAGGAAAAGCAAAAAAGTTTTAGTGCATGACCTCTTTGCCTTGTTTGGTAATATAAGACAGAAAAATATGACCACGTTTTACTTATTTGCATTCTTAGTCTTTCTCTTTAGGATTTATATAGTAGCTTGGGTTCTAGACTTACCATCTTTTACTTTCTATCACGAAGTTCATCTAATTATTTTGTCGTATAATTTTACATGTGACACTTCGTGCTCAATTTGTGAATAAAGCATGTGTATATTCACATGTTACGTGGAAAAAATAGAGAGCAAAATAAAAGCTATAAGAAAAGCCTTTTTTTTTTCGTCAAAAGCATTTTTTATATTTCATTTACTAACTTGATACCACAAGCTCAGTTATAACCTGGTTACTACCCAAAAGATCCATTTGTGCACTCTCTTTGAGCCACATGGGAAAGTTTTCTTCCTAGTCTACTTCTCTAACAAGTTTGACAGCAAACTTTGCTAGATTGTGTGAGAACCCTCACTTTAAAATGCAATTCTCCTAAACTACATGCCTTGCCCTAAGATTTAAACCACTTATAATATGCCCTTGCATTGCATTCTACATGTATTATAACAATTCCCTTGCATTGCATTTCATTTTCTTTTACTTGAATGGAAACATTTTCTTGAGTTGGTTTTAATTATTTCACCACTTACATTTTTAACAAGTGTCTTTTATTTGTGGTTGGGACTTTATATGAGAGTTTGGAGATGTTAAATAGATATTGGGACATTTGGAAGAGTTGAAACATCATTAGTCAAAGATTAAGAGAAGATTGGACAAGAATTGGACCATGTGGCAAAACCCTAGCCATGTATCTTGTTTGACCAAAGGATTAGAGGAATTTTAAACCAACTTTGCTTCATTTCCTCCACCATATTTTCAGCCACCTTGAAGCTTCCAAAGGAAGGAAGAAAACTCCATTTCTCTTGCTTTCTAACCCTAGCTTAAACTTGAACAAAAATCATAAGACCAAGAGCTTGAGTTGGTGAATGATTTGCCTTCAACCCTAGAGTGTGTTTTCAAGCTTGAAACTTTTGGTTTGGTGGTTGTTTGGGTGACTCAAGCTTCTTACAAGAGAGGTATGTGATCCTTAATCTTTGGTTTTATAATGTTATATCAAGTATTTAAAGCTTTGAGGGCAAACTAGAGGCTGCATGAGTAATATTTGTGGTGAATCTCCTTGAACTAAGCAAATGGTAATAGGGTTAGTTAGTTTGTCTACCATGTGTTTGATGAAATGTTTGAACTTTGTTTATGGTTTTTCTTGAGGTATTAACATGTTTTAGACCCTTTTTGAGTTGGAGATAACACTTGGCATGTTGTTTAAGTGAATACAATGAAAGGATGAAGGTTGGTGACATGAAGGAACTTGTGAACTGTTTTCTTTCTTCTTGGCTGACCAGTTTTGGAAGGAGAGGTTTCTCCTTGATTTTGTGGTTCATTTGCACATTAATCAAGCCTAAGAATCTTGGCTAGACATTGGTTAAGCTTGTGTGTGAGTTGAAGTGGAAATAAATCAAGAAAAGTAGTTGTTATGAGCTAATAGTGGACTGATTTGGCTGGCTAGACTGTTTTGATCCTCTTAATTATGTTGTGTATTACATTTTGAACTCCAATGGTACTAGTTAAATTACTCCCCTGTTTATGAACCCTAGAAGATTGAATTGGGTGAATTTGAACCAAAACAAATGAAGTTAGCAACAAGAATTAGTGTAACTTTGTTAAGGCATTGAAGCTAATCAGAACTGAAAAATCAGCCATCTTGTCTGAGTTACTGGTACTGATAGGAGATGAACTAGAGTGTTTATTTAGTACCGTTGGAAAGCCCTTTGAGTCTAGTTTCCAACGCCACTGACGGCACCTGATTCCGACCTTCCTACAATGAGATATAGCCGTTTTCCAAGACTGCGTGGGCGCGACTGTTTTTCCCGCGAAGAACAACTTGAGCTTGGATGAAACTTTTCTTTTGCCCAACTTTCTTGCACTTGTCAAACTTGTTTTCTCATGAACTTTTACTGCATTTTGGGCCTAACTTGCATGGTGAATTGAGTAGATTTAACCACTCACTTGGTCACCTAATGAACTCACTTTTGGGTTAGAATTGAACCTAGTTTGTTAATGATTTCACTCATTGCCCTAGGATTGGGAAACGGTGGTGAACGTAACCAAGGAACTTGACGTTTGAACTCTACATTACTTGACAGGTGAGTGTTCCAAGTACATGAAAATATTTGAATCAAAACTCTGGTGACCGGTACTGTGAATATAAAGGGCTGTGATTATGCCACGCACCTATACATCCGGTAAAATAGAATTTCAGCCATTGATATTGCTACAGGATAAGTGACACCAAAAAATAATAATATCAGAGTTTTGAAGTGCTGCTGTTCATTGGTTCTTGTTACCTGCTAATATTTATGAATATGCCATTATAATTAATTATGAGAGTGCCCTGCATGGGTTCGTTTCAAGGAATTTTATTATCACCTGCATTTATTTCTGACAATTACAATGCCAAGAACAAGTTCTTTCCGCCTTGCTGCAAAAAATATTTTCATCACATATTCTAGATGTGATGTTTCAAAAGAATTATGTCTTGAAAAACTCCTTGATAAATTCACCAATAATCAACCTTCATACGTGAGAGTATCCTCAGAGCTACATGAAGACGGTACTCCACACCTACATGTACTCGTCCAATTTGCAGACAAGTTCCAAACAAGAGATGATAGAGTATTCGATTTAGTATGCCAGCAAAGATCTCAAGTATATCATCCAAATATACAAGCTGCCAGAGATGCAAGAGCTGTACGAGATTATATTTCCAAATACGAAGATTTCTGTGAATGGGGAACGTTCAAATCCAGTAAGATATACAGAAATCAACATGAGTGCTATACAGAGGCACCAGAACAAGAAACAATTGAAGATTTCATGAACACGATCAAAGAAGGAGATCCAAAATCCTACTGCATATATTATGACAGGATTAAATGCAATGCTGAGAAGTTATACTCTACACCAACTCAAGAATATACAAGTCCATTTCCATTAGCCGATAATGTTCCGTATGAATTACTGGACTGGGCTAATACAAATATAAAGCCCATGGAATCTAGGCCCAATAGACTAATGTCCATTATTGTCGAAGACCCATCCAGATTAGGAAAAACAATATGGGCCAGGTCATTGGGTCCACACAATTATTTGTGCGGGCATTTAGATCTGAATAACAAAGTGTACAGCAATGATGTCTGGTACAACGTCATCAATGACATCAATCCGCAATATCTCAAGCATTATAAAGAGTTCATCGGGGCTCAAGGGGACTGGGTATCAAACTGCAAATACGGCAAACCAGTCCTGATCAGAGGAGGAATTCCAGCTATCATGTTGTGTAATCCAGGTCCAGATTCATCATATAGGGATTATCTTGATAGAGCCGATAAGCAAGCATTAAGGGACTAGACAGAAAACAATGCAAAATTCGTATTCAACTCCGAGCCACTATACGAAGAGACCATCAGAGCCTCCAGCTCTGAAGCAGAAAATCAGGGAAGTCAGAGCCATACACAGCAGACGTCTCAAACGAGCTCGAACAACTCAGAAGACACTTTCCGCCAGTTGCTCGCAAAGGAAGATGGATATGATCATCAACAGAAACGCAATACCACTACTTCCAACACCAACACTGTTTCACATCCAATTGCAGGGTCAGGGTCACATAAGATCATTTTTGAGACCGTGGAACACATTAACAGTCATGTTCCGGATAAATCACACACCAAGGAGGCTCCTCCGGATCACATCATACAAGTGTATAGAGCATATCTGGATACGGAGCAGTGTAGTCAATTTTCCAAGTATTATTCGGTGGCTATACATTATGATTTTTCAAAAATTGAATAATTTCAGTCCATATTTTTCAGTTCAGTTATTTAATTCAGCAATAGACGATGTAATATCCGAATGGAATGTAATAATAGGGTCAGAAACCCTATTTTATGATTGTTATTAATAAAATTATCATTCATCAACAAATACGCATATGACACGTGTTGTTAAACAGTATAATAAAGTGCACCGCATAATTAGCAATATACGATCATTCAAAACTAATAACAATGGCAATTATAAAATCCATAATAAATACCACTATTCATATATTAATTTATAATTCAACATATAAAATTGCTAAAAGGATGTTATAATAATATCATTTACCATTAAAATTCGATAATAATCCACGATTTGTTGTACAATATCAAATAACAATTAATATTCACCAAATTCAAGGTTCACACACAGTACAACCAAAATCGTACTCAGCAAACCGAGCAAACGTATTCAGCACTTGTCAACAAATCGTGCTAAACAATTAAGCGGAAAAAATGGTTTTAAAAAAAATAAACTACCCATTCAAAATTGCAATAATTATGTCCAAATCATATCATACAACAAATCAATGAACAGTTAATCGTTCAAATAAAGAAACCGCCAAAAACTATAACACGCGGTTTCATCATTACACGTGGGACCTAACATCCACTACAATACTGGGTCACGTGAAAGTCACATGGTATACAGTGCCAAATAGTAGAACAAGTACAGGTGACCCAGTAAGCCGGTCACCAATTTAGTTATGCACAGTGACCTGGTGACCGGTACTGTGATTGTACACTAATACACTAACCCTCTATATACACGAATACATTACATTATTGTATAGCAAATAATATGACAAATATAATAAACATTAAAATTTGCATAAAAAGATAACCGTGTCTGTCCCAATTTCACTAACATCTATTGCACTTAGCAGAGGACTAGTAAAAAATATATATATAGAGGGGAGAATACTTGACTGTTGACTTTGGCTAGAATAAAAATCAAGCAAAGTGGCAAGGAAACTTCTCAAAATTTCGAAAATGAAATTATTTAGGGTTCACTTTTTTTAGGGTTTACTTGGATAGTATATTTTTTGAGTGTTTGTTACAAAATTTGTTGTAAGAAACTACAGTTATTTTACATTAATATTAGAAAAAAAATATTAGTTGATGTTCAAAATACCCTATTCTTTCAAAACCTTTCCCCTTCACCCGCTACCCACAAATGGCAATCTTTGCAAGACACCATCAGTTTCCTACTTAATGTGTATTTTTAAAAACTTTTGGATGCCTTAAAATATTCCCATAGTTGATATTTTAAACAAGTTTTTTTTTTTTTGCTTAAAACAGGCCAAAAGTAGGCCATCTAAGTTGACACCCGCCCGGTACGTGCCTCAACAAAATGGACAATCAGTAGGGGACCAGCACTATTGTGACGACTAGAAAAATTTCCTTATATTTTTTTCTTAAAATCCCCTTTTATTTGGAAATTATTACTTTATAATAGCCCTACTACTCAATCACCCCACAATAAGTGCAAATGAACCTAGAAAGTAGGGTTTCACTTTTCGTGTTTTAAATCAGCATGAATTAGGGTTTTATACCTATCCGTGGTATGACTATCCGATACGGAGTGTGGATCAAATATGGTGATTAAAAGTGAGTTTTAGGTGATATTAAGTATGTGATTAGAAATGATAATAATAAGTTAGTAAATTATAAGTTAAAACCCTAGTATACTCGATTTAAGGAAAATTGGCTCGAACCGACGAGTACCGTTTGTTACCAGGTAAACACACCACTTGACCCATAATTTATTACCTTAATCTTCTCATTTTATTTCAGCTAATTAACCCTCAAAATATCTCATACATCAGCCACAATATTTGACCAAGAAAATAAGAGAAAAGAAAAAAAATTGAGATGGATTTTGGTGATGACAAGTGGAGGCTATCCAAGCACCTTTGACCCAAACCAAAACCAAGTCTTATAACCCTTTCTTAGCCTCCAATCTTCTCCATTTTTCCAGCTAAAAACCGTGAGCTTGAGGGAGAGAGAGAGCAAGAGAAAGAACTCCATGTCATCTTGAGTTTGATCCATTTGAGTGAGAAAGTAAGATTTTAAACCGATTAAATCCTTCTTTGAGCACTTGGAAAGCTTGGTGTGTAAAAGGATTATAAGAAGAGGCGGTGGATAACTCTTATAAGCATCTTTGAGAGGTATATTTGCTGTCCTTTATCTTTGGTTCTTTTATTTTTGCTTAAGTTGCTATACAACCCATGTTTTGATTAAATTGGTAGCTATTCAAGTAGTTGTGATGATTTTGGAGGCATTAGTAAGGTAGGGTTTTGTATTGTTCAACCCTATTTCTTATTATGTGGATGGTATATGATGTATACAAGATTGTATATGAGGTAGTGGTGATGGTTTTGAGCTGGAAATGTGAATTATACCTTAAGTGTAACAAAATTCCAGAAGTGAAAATCCTTAGTGCCCTGTTCTGCCCGGTTTTAGTTCACCATGATAGAGGTCAGATTAAACTTAGTACAAAACATGAAAGTTGTAGAAAATGATGTTTTATAGATTTCCAAAAAAGTTCAATGCAATCCGAGCATTGTAACATATAAAAGGGCAAAAATACCCCTGACTGCCATAGGTAGAACGTGAGGGACAGTTTTGACATTTCACCAATCTGATCACATCTGTTCACCCTGATCTGTACTGAATTAGCATTTGGCCAAAACATAGAAGTTGTAGTACTATGTCTTAACTTTCCAACGGCGCTGAAAACGCCTCAATCGGACTTCGGTAGCCTGAGTTATTGTCATTTAACCATAGTGCGGTTAGCTAACCTGTTTGTGAGATTCTGGTTTTGTACAGTGAAATTTTGACCTAGCTACACTACGAACTGGACTGAGTGGCTTTCATCAAAGTTGTAGCCTTTCTCTTATCTTCGAAACGGTATAAATTTCATCCCAATCTGATAAGCGTAGCCTCAGTTGTATCCGTTACGCAAAACAACGTCAAAATCTGTCTTTTGTTTCTTGACTCAAACTTCGTTTCCGCATATGTTCCTAGCTTGGTTTTGTACTTGTATGACGTTGAACCTATTGAATGGCTATTATAATGAGCTTACTTACATCATGTATGACTTTGGGACTGATTGAGGAAAAAATGAAGCCATAAATGGCTGAAAAATAGGTAAATACAAAGGGCGTGCTGCCCAAATTTGCACCCGAGGGCTAGGTAGATGTATTCTTTTCACTTCCAAGACTATATTTATACTTTGTACAGGTAAATATTCGGATTTTCTTTGGTTCACCTAAATTTCGAGGGTTTACCTGCAATATTTTCTCTTGGTTATTATTAGGGTTTGTTTAGCTTCCTTTTCATATGATTTTACTCAAGACACTTGTTATACATTGTTTCTTTGCATATGAATTAGTTTCGGACCAAACGAAGAGCTTTACGAAAATTTGAACAACTGTCTTTTCATATCCGGCCATATTTTGAAGTGGCACTATTAATTTATTTTCAATGGAATTTTCTAAAAACCTTTTTGGTATGGTTTTGTGTTTGATTTGAGAAAACTCTTAGTTACTAATGTCCTCTAATCTAAATATACACTTTTCACCTTAAAACTCATATTTATGTATTGCACTAGTGCGTATTTGGATTCTCTTTGAATCACTTAGATTTTTATGGTAGAAGTATAATGTGTTCTTTTGATTATTATTAGGGTTCCTTGGTGATTGAGGGTAATACCCAGAAGAACACTTTGGACGTTATTTTGCGTAAATAGGTGAGTGTTCCTTGTTTATTATATTTTCCTTGACTTCATGGCTTGTGTTATCGTTTGATAATGTGTTAAGTGCTTTCAATGATTGCCAAAACGAGTTTTCTAGGCGAGTGTGTACTTTATCGCACTCGACCTAAATGAATGTAAAAATTTTCAATGATTCAATGATTAAAATGTTACTTGTGCATTAATGTAAGCCTTTTGGCTGAACTGGGCCCTGCCTTACGTTACCGATCGACTCGATCCAGAAGCGGATTTGGTCGGGCGATATGGTGACCCTAGGTGAACGTTTGGTATACTCGAGTATTACCTTGTAGTCTGGTGGAGCCTGGCCAACGTCCAGGGGGGTGAATGAAATGAACAAACAAATGTCAATGCAAATGAGGGGTTTTATTTATCAAAAATGCATTTTCAAATGATTGGAGGAATAAGGGAATGAAAGGAGAATGAATGAATGAATGAATAAATGGTTTCCTGTGAACACGTTTCCTTTTAATGAATGTGTTATTATCGCTTTATATTGTACATGTTTCTTGACTTATTGTTTGATTATTGCTTTTACTGAACTTATTGTTTGATTATGTGTTCGGAACCTCATTGAGTATTTAACTCATTCCTTTAATTTTGTTTTTCTTAACAGGGGAAAGCGAGCAAGGACGAGAGTTTTGTATAGACTAGTTTGGTCTAGCTCTTTGAATTTTATTTTGTAATGGTTCTCGCCCTAGTGTTTGGCACGGGTTGGATGTATGACGAATTGAGAACCTTTGTATATTTGAGTCTAT